AGATGGTGAAGGGCCTTGAGGGGAAGCCGTGTGAGGAGCAGCTGAGGGCACTTGGTGTGTTCAGCTGGAGAGGAGGAGACTGAGGGGAGACCTCAGTGCAGGTACAACTTCCCTGTGAGGGGCAGAGGAGGGGCAGGCACTGATCTCTGCTCTGTGGTGACCAGGGACAGCACCCCAGGGAATGGCCTGAAGAGGGCAGGTTTAGGTTGGATATTAGGAAAAGGTTCTCCCCCCCAGAGGGTGATTGGGCACTGGAACAGGCTCCCAGGGCAGTGGTCACAGCCCCAAGCCTGACAGAGCTCAAGAAGCTTTTGATGATACTCTGAGGCCCATGGGACTCTTGGGGCTGGTTCTGTGCAGGGACAGGAGCTGGACTCAGTGATCCTTCTGGGTCCCTTCCAGCTTGGCACAGTCTGTGATTGTGTGGTTCTGTGAAAAGTTCCATCACCCACAGTGACTGTCAGTGGAACACAACTCGGAATGGTATTTGCTTTTCAAAACTCTTGCAGGCTTGGGAAATGCTGCATTTAAAAAGCCAACGGAGCCATCTAGTGTTTAAATTTAAAATTTGCAGTTCCATGTGTTTTGGACTTCTGTGTGCAAGAGCAAGATCCAGGTGCAATCTCAACAATCAAAACCGAGAAGCAGCTCATGGAGTTTCATATTAATCCCTGACAGCTCTTGATTCTTACAAACTGTACAGTTATTGTGCTGGAATTAACAGTGTAAAATTGCACATGGGGATTTCTATTCATTCATTAGAGACACTCAAGATGAGACAAAAGGTTTTTCAGATATTTGTCCTTTCATATTCTCATTTTCAGTTATACATTCTCATTTCTACTCGGCATTTCAATCCTCTCAATGCCTGTGCTGCTTTGTCACCTGCTACTTCAGGGCATGTGCTTGATCAGTTGGTTTCTGTAGCTTGACCTTCCTTCTGTGAACTGTCTTTTTGGCCATCTGGCCTGTCACATACTCTGGGGTTGGTCAGAAAGCTGGGAAGAGGCCACACTGCACGTGTAAGACTTTTTTCCTCAAAATTCAGCACCAAGCTTCAGTAGCTGTCATCTCCCTTCCCAGCAGTCAGCATGCAGGCAGGCACACCAGACATGCCCACAGGTTGGGGGCATGTTCTTTCCTCATCGTTTCTCATGCTGAGCTCAAATATAACTGCTTAATGTTTGTCACCCACAGTCATTTCCCCTTGTTACATGTTCATGTTTTCATTTCCTGTGTCTGTGGATAACTTGTAGAGAAAAAGAAACATGATTTTTATAGTTATTGTTGAAATACTTGGGCTGGCTCTGTTCTCCTAATGTAGCCTTGGAAGGTGAGTGCAAATGAACCAGTGAGCAAACCAGAATTTTGCAGCCCTATGGATTAAAAAAAGGGGTTCAAAGCCGAGCTGGGACCATGACTGAACCAAACCAACCTCCTGCTGGCACAGGAGGTGCAGGACAGAGGACAGAAGGTGTCACACCAGGAAAAGCCACTGATGTTTCTGAGACAAACCACCTCTCCCTGGGTCCATGTAAGAAGTCACTGTCCCAGAATCATTCTTTTTTTTGTTTTGTTTTATCTTGTCTTTCTCTTTTTTTTTTTCCTGTCCAAGTCTGGTCTAACCATATGGATTACCCAGAGAGCGTGCAGAGTCCCTTAAATCCCAGTGTCTCTGGCCATCCGGCATACCTGTAATTCAAAGGGAGGGCAGGCTCTGGGCACGAGAACTGATCTGACCTAACTCTAGATATTTGAAAGACAGTTGACGAAATCTAAGCTGGTGTTCTAGAATTCTTTGTAGTCCATGAGTTGAAGAAAACACTGTCCAAAAAATAGTTTATTTTGGTCTCCACATAGGTGCCGAAGGATGCTGGAGGCAATCCCACATGGCCAGCAGGAACTACCAAAAATCAGTTGCTTACCAGGAATCTCAGAGTGAGTCAGAATTATCTGAGTTCTTTTGGAAGCTACTTCTGGATGGCCATTTTAGACAGGAGGGACTATGATTCTGAGAATCATTTAACAGCTGGACTCCTTTAAGGAGTTGCCCACTGTGCTCAAGAAAGGAAACTGAGTAAGTCTTGTGCTTTATAAACCTGTTTTGGTTACCATTGGTGGTTCTTCTACCCACTATATATTTAAAGGTTTTTAAAACATTGGGAGTTTTGTCAGTGGTAATATTGCCAAAAGTCAAAATTGTGGTTCTGATAATATCACAGAGTGTTGCTGCTGTGTTATGTTTACTGAGTCCTTTCAAAGGGACTATCGTATTATCACTGTGACCTCAAAAAAATGTTAGTCTTGTTTAATCATTAGAACAAAGAGCTGGAGGCCAGAAAGATCATAATACAACCATTAAGGACAGAGGAGAGCCAACAATGTGGTTCATAGAAAACAGAGACCAGAAAAGACCAATCTGAGTCTGTGGAATGTTTCCATTTTCTCCAGCTGATGAGCTGCACAAACCCGTCATAAATCCGGTTTCTCCAGAAGTGAAGTTTACGTTGAAGCAGATCCTGTGCCAAGCTGTCCTGTTTACAGAGCTTTTGTCCACACGAGGAAGTGGATGGGTACATGGCATAAGTTATTTCTGAGCTATTCTAAAAGCTGCAACTAGTTATTTAAGAGCAGCTATTGTGGAATAGCTTATGCTACATTGGTTACACCCATCACTTTCCCTGGAGAGAAAAAAATCCATTGCAATATTCTAAACATGAAGTCATTGTATACTTTTGCAGCATTTTCTTCAGGACTCTACAAATAGGCAACTTGAAATAATATTCTGAATGACATCAGTTGTCCTTGACCAGCTAACTCCAAAGTCTAATGGCATGACTTGGAATGCTTAGCAAAACTGATTGGAGGCAATTAGAATTAAGCACGAGAAGAAAGAGGAATTATTACAGGGAGGAAACTCCAGGGGAAGGGAAGAGAAAGACAGAAAAGGAAATGGAATTAATAGCAACAAAAGGAAAATTGTAAAGAAGAAAGTCCAAGTGCAGAAATACCAGTGGAAGTCAAGATGGGAATGTTTCCTCAACTGAGAGATAATCATGGTTGTAAGCCTGAGTCAGCTCCCACAGCCCAAAAGGACAGGATTCCTCCAGAGCTTGGTGCCTGTACCCCCCGATACCAGTGTGCATCGTGCTGTTCATGGAGTGCACCAAACAGTCCTGAATTCAAGCAGGCAGTCACTAAACGTGGCATTTGGCCTTCTCTGCAAATGACTTTTCACCTCCCCGGTGCCAAAGCAGTACTTTCTCCACTTTGTGCCCATGTTTGTTCTACCAGCCTTGTCATTGCTGGCTTCTCTTTCTCACGGTATGTCCAAGCCCGGCTCTGGGACACTTGAGTCTCTTTTAGAAGAACTGGGGGGGGTTTTGATCTGTTTTGGACAGGACAGAGCAACTTGCTCTTTGTTTCCATCCCAATGGCAGACACTTCTGTCTCCCTAGCAGACCTAAATATGTGACACATTGAAGGAAAAGGAGCCAATAAAAGGTCACCTTGATCAAAAAATATAATCATAGTTGTGATATTTGAGGGAATGTTATCTGTGCAATGGAATTTTTTTGCCTGGTTTTTAATGTTTAGGTGTGTTTTAAATACCTGTACATGAACGTGTACCACAGCTAAGAAAGCTTTTCTGTCTGAGGTTGGGAATGAAAGAGAGTCCTTTGTTTTAAACCTTGCAGTTTGACCAAGCAGTGAAGTTGGATGAACATTTTACTCCAAATGTTTCTGCAGGGGAATGAAACTTCAATGAAAAACCAAAGAAGCCAAGTGATGTAAATGGATATATAAAGTGGAAAAGT